GTGGCAGTTGTGGTGCCAACTGATGGACCGTCAACACAGACCTCATCCGTCAACGACCAGGTCCAACTGGGTATGAATTGGTCAGAAATGGCTGGACGCATGTCTCTTCGCAGTTGGTGAGTTAAAACCACCAATGTACTATAAATATATATATATATATATACATTTTTATATATTATATATATATATACCAATTTCCGGAGTTCAAACTAAATCTAATCCTCTCAAGAACAGTCCACTTAAAACTTCAACCCCAAGCCTCAATCGGTCTTTTCTCGTGAGCGACCAGCGACCCGGGAGTTTTGGCCTAATACTCCGTTTGCTCAGCCTTGTTCATCAACCAGTGGACAGTGGACACTGCCTTGGCATGCAGTCACACCACATGGCCTTCACATCTTTCAGGACGAACTGTTGAACATGGCGCAACCAGTGGTCTTGCAGGTTGTGGCTGGCAAAGACATGACTCTTGTTGGTGAACTTGCAATATTGCTAGTGCCTACGAATAGGCGGATTTATGCCCAGCTGCTGCGGATGATTCTTGGGCTTGCTTTTTGGCGCGCGCTGTCTATTTCTTTCTTTAAGATGGCCTTCTTTAGCGCGTTCTGCTGCCCTTGCTGCTCTGCGGCTGAGGAAGCTCCTCAGCCTTTTGGAGTCGTGAACTCCGCGTTCTCCGCCGCCATCTTCAACTGCCAGCAAAGCATTCTAAGTCTCCGGACATGCCCTTTACATTTTTCCTTCCCTGGAAGTTGAGGCAGGCGCCGTACGACACCAAGTCATTGAACTGGGAGAGCAACTTCACATGGGCCAAGAACTTTGTGCTCGGATCACGCCCAGCCCGCCCAGCCCTCTTTCTTTCACAACCCCCTGAGCCCAGAGCCCTTTCGTTTTCGGGGTTTTAAGTTCTGAAGGGCGTTTGTCTGGGGGTCAAATGCCAAACCTCCACCTTCTGATCTCCAAGCTTGACTGGCACCATCTCCGGGCCGATCAAACGAAGCTCCGTCTTCTCTGCCTTTGCCCATCTGTCAGCACCATGGGCTCCATCGTGTGAGCACGTCGGCGGTTCACGCAAGTGGGTGGAAGGTCGTTGGTGCTCCAAAAGTCTTGCTTTGGCACATAACCTACTGGGACGGACATCTAACTGGGTGGAAGAAGCAGGATCGACCCAAACCCATTGGTGGGGTAACACGACTTGTGGACGGCTGTCAGTCAAACACGAAGCCCCTTTCCGCGTATTACCGGGGGTACTCGGGGAGATTGGATTTATACTTGTTCTCTCTACTACTGGTGAGTTGAGTGGAGTATGCTGCAAGCACAGGGGTGTGTATGAATTAGTGGCAACTGAGCTACATACGAATTACGTCAATGAAGCGGTTCTGAGGAAAGACTCAAAAGCAACAACAGCAACATGTTATGGAACTATATATATAATTCGGATACGTGTCTCCCTATTAAACTAATTACACACCCAACTGTCTCAAAAGCTGTCCACAAAAATAAGTCAACCCCTAGCCGCAAGCTAGGCATCGGAGATCTTAGAGATTCAAAACGAGCTGGGCATTCGATAAACCCTTGCAACCACACAAAGAATCCCTTTTAAATCCCCTATCCATGTTACTAAGTGTTGCAGTTCCAATTCATCAACGTTGCAAGTTGCGATTGGGACCATCCCTGCCACGAGGATGCTCCCCTCCGTGGCGGCCCGGTGCCCCAGGACGGTTGGCCTCGGTGGACCTTTCAGCGAGGTTGGCCTTGGTGGACCTCTTTGGAATTCCGGATTCTTTTTTGACTCTAGCATGTGGCTAGAATGTGTGGCCATTTTTAGAGGCCTTCTGGCATGCTAGAGAAACCCCTTTCATACTGAGTGGCTCCATGGTTTGTGGAACAGCAAAAGACAGAGATTTGTTCCATGGTTTGTGGGCATGAACAAATGGGTTTTTCCACTTCCATGTGACTTTCCAGGTTTCGTACGCCATCCGCCCCAGACTCCCCTGAGTTCACTCTCGTACGACGAATCGAGTCGATGTCTGAGGTGGGTACCTGGTCCTGGGGCAACGAGTCCTTTGGCCTCGGGACCCAGAGGGACCCAGAGGACCCCGAGGGACCCGGAGCAAGCGCTTTGATTGGGAAAGCCCAGTCACATACTGTAAGCAAAACAGAGCCACTGGCTAGACGTAAATGGGTGGTGATATTAGGCGAAGAAATCGAGGCATTTTCTGTCACTGATTCTGTCACTAAGTTTGGTGCATATATGAAGCTGCTTCGGTACCAAACTCCTCTGACACCCAGATGCATTCAAGAAGGTTCTGAAGAGTCTTGGGGTGCGAATGGATTGCAAAACGACCGTGGTGGGGCGTGATTGGGTAACCCCGTGCAACTCCTCGTAGATCCTCGTACCATGAAGTCTTGCACTGTGAGGCTTTTAAGAGTGGCTCCTTCGCATGCCAGAAGGCCTCTAGAATGGCCTAGACAGGTGAAGTTGGGGGCCGAAACGGCGATCTGCCTCCCCGTCCGCAAGGGTGGAAGCACAAATCCTCGGTCGGAGGTCGGATCCTTGAGGGTGCCACCAAGAAGATAGATAAGAGATGATAAGAGCGAGCTGCTGGGGCGGAGGTGGAAGCACCTCATTTCGATGCGAAGCACCTCAACTTCACACCCTAGGTGTTGTCCTTGGTGTGTACCGGTCTTTACCGACCCTTCGAGGCCATGGGCTCCGGCCCGGCAGCCGCGGGGCGAAGGAGGCGGCGCGAGCGACCTTCGACGCGGCGATCCGCCCGGGACCTGGCGTTTCACGGCGCAGGGGTGGGGAAGGCGCGTCAGTTCAACGGTCTCTTTCTTTTGTTTGTGTGCTCCGGTCGTCCTCATGCAGCGATTTTCTTCTCATCCAGCCGTCGTCCTTGGTCGCGGTTGTTTGGTTGGTGGGACGATGAAAACAGGTGTGCGCAAGGGCAGAAAAAGGCGAGTTTTCTCGGCCGTGCCGGTGGAAGGCCTAGATTCTAGATGTCATTCCTAAGGGGGACCTGAGTTTGGGAGCTTCCCTCGATGATCTCGGCGACCACCAGTGGTCCCACCCGGTGGGGCGCCTGAGGCCATGGCAGCTACTTCTTCGACACCGCGCCGACCTACGGCCGCGGCTTCGCAGAGGAGAGCCACTTGGCTTTTTGGAGCGCGCCTTGGGCTGGTGCGGCGTGATTCATGGCCATTCTTGGGCTAGTAAGGTGAATCTTTTTCGGGACACATGTGGGTCAAAACCCGGGCACCCTTTTTCAGGTGCCAGAACTAATTGAAGGTGAAATTGACCAAAGCAGCCATATATGGCAGTAGTTTCAAGGGCATGCCAACGCGTTTTGCACAGAACGAAGGAGAGGACCGGACCGTGCCGTTTAATGGCTTGGTTCTTCTTGAAACTCAGACCGTCTCGGCCTTCTGGGGCGCAGATGAACCGAAATTAGCAGAATACCCTTGGAACCATTTGGAAGATTTTGGAAGGATGTTCTGAGATTCTTTCGATGTTCTTCATTTTTGGTGATGAATCCTGCCTTGCTACTTTGAGCGATTTCTTCATACCTCTGCAAGGACCTCAGGGTCGGACCTAAGGCCTAGGGCACCTTTGCCATCATGGACCGTACGCGGTGGTTGCTACGCCTGGGGTCCCCAGGCGGGTCCGTTGGCCAGGCATCCCTTTTAGATGATTTCAAATGATTTTTTGAGGCACCAAGGATTCGGCTTTGGTTTCATGAACGCCCTTTTTGATTCCCTGAGGTTCATGAGTAGATCGTGGTAGATAACGGCAAACATGCTCAACAGGTAGCAGACTGGAGGGGGTTTCCCAAGAGGACCTGGGGTCTGGACCCCTCGATGTAGTCCGACTCCTACCTTCCAACAAGAGCACTGGATACCCTAAGGCACCGCGTGGACCCACAAGCGGGTAAAAAAATTAAAGGGTTTTCCCCGTGGCAGGGCCTGGTTTAGCAGGAATAGGCCCCCCCCCCGGTCACTGTTGGCCAACAAACAAGCTTTTCACCTGCTTGTCAGTGATCTAGGATGACTGGGGTTTAAACAAGAAACAACAGGGCTTTTTCAGGCTTATCGAGCGATTTTGGCTTTTCACTCATCACTTCTTTTCAATTACTGTATATAACCTGCGGCAGTTGACCCAGCGAGATGACACGGACACCGAGTTCACAGCTGTGTACTCTGAACTCACTGCAATAGGCCAGTCATTGAGTAATCCTTTTCCCTGTTTGCGTTTTGCTATTGAATCATCCTGCATGTGTTCCGTACATTTGTGGGCCAACAGGATTTGTCACAGATAATTTTCTAATGTTCTTGGTGTCTTCCACATTCTGATTCAATGCAATGTGCTTTGCACTACTTGCGTTCACTGACTGCTAAAGCATCGCCCGGATGGTTTTTGTTGAGATACTGCAAGTGGAACTGTCTAGACTTGTCGAGGCAAGGGATTCCGCCCCCATTGGGATTGAGACAATGCTTTCGGTTCGTCCGCAGTCGACTCGAAGGGCCTCGATTCCCACATGGTGATATAGAATAGCATTTGCAAAACAAGTACCTGGATGGAGGAATGATTTTTTCTCACGTGAGAATCCATGACTCAATCCAGGTACAGCCTTTGCAAAACGCTTTGCCGAGTTCGAGGCGTTGACGGATTCATGATACGATGATGCCGCGGGTCTTGCGAGGATCTCGCTGCATGCTGAGGAAGCACTTCCCACGACCACAGCAGGACTTGACGGCAGCCCTCCTGTCCACTGCGCGAGAGGCGCGCTGCTCGGGGTGATTGCGAGACTTGGAAGTGGAGGGGGAGAGCTTGGAGGGCTTGGGAGGAATCTGATTGGGAGATCGGAAGAGTCTCCTGTTCAAGAATGCGGAGATTCCACCTCCAACGAAACCACTTTGTCTTGTCTTTAAGTCACTTTTTTGCAGCACATTGACCTCAAGCTCGATTTTCGATCTCCCCCAGTGCTCCCTTTTCTGCGGTTGCCATGGCGGAAAAGACCAACACGGCTTCCACTTCGGTCCACCAGCCGACGACCTTGGAGTTCTTGGGCTTGGCCGGGAATTTTGGACACCTGAACTTGAAGGACTTGAAACGAATCCTTCACAGATATATAGTATACAATCGATTGCATTTGAATACATAGAGAGATAGAGATCTTGAGAGTGAGTGAGTGAGTGAGTGGGTGAGTGAGGGAGGGAGGGAGGGAGGGAGGGGGAGGGAGGGAGGGAGTGAGGGAGTGAGCGTGTGAGTGGAAAGAATCCTCAAACAAGGTTCGTTTGGTTCACTTTTTGGTTCCAATTTCATATCACTTTCACTGTCACTCATTCTTTTTGTTCTGAACGCCCAACCTTTTGGAACCGATGTTTGGTTCCACTCCTTTTTTTCTGCAGGACCCCTTCGATGTGAAGAAGCGTGGCTCCAGCTACTTCACGGAGTTCCGCGCGGGGCTGACCACGTTCCTGGCGATGGCCTACATCCTTCCAGTGAACAGTGGAATGCTCAGCTTAGTGATCCCTGGCATGCGCGAGCAGCTGGTCTGTGCCACCGCCCTGGCGGCCTTTTGTGGATGTTGGTTGATGGGGATCTTGTCCAACTATCCCTTCATGTTGGCACCTGGCATGGGCACCAACGCCTTTTTCACCTTCACCATTTGTTTGAGCAGGCGCGAGTGCGAGGGGTCTGGGGATGCAACATGAGGAGAGTGGCGGTGAGTCATCCTTGTTGAAGCTAAATACTGTACAAGTTGGATCATTCGCGTAGATTTTGGCAGATTCATGCGCCTTTGATTCAGATCCTTCAAGTATCTTCAAGTAATTTCATGCAAGCTTTCCATCCAAGTGTGCCACCTGTTCAGACCCGTTTGACTGAACCAATTTGCCATTGGTGACCAACCAGGGGCTTGCCATACCAAGCGGCCTTTGCGGCGGTCTTCGTGGCTGGGTGGATTTTCATGCTCCTGAGCATTACGGGACTGCGCACCTTGATGATCCGACTCTTTCCCGAAGGCATCAAGGCGCAAGCGCGCGCGGGCGTCTCCGACGGGGCGTCTCCGACGGAACACGGCCGTCAACGCCTGGCTGGCGCTCCGATTGGTGCGTGCGGCGCGAGGTTTGGGGCGTTTTCCGAAGCATTTCTTTAGGCGTTTTGAGAGAGAGAGAGCTCGGTTTAGGTCCTTTTCCGGCGAAACATGGATGGTTTGAGACCCGGAGAGAGCGGTGCAGATTGAAGTGTGGAATCGCATCCCATGAGACATGTCCAAATCGATCGATCTGCCACGGCTTGAAAGCGCATAGTTTTTGGTGAGAGGTGTTTCCTTTTTTTGTGCCTATATTTGATACCCTTTTAAATCAATCTTTTTTGGACCCTCACAACGGGAACGCAAGATTATGTTAATTCCTCACATTCAGCGGGCAGCTGTTTTCTTGGGTTCCCCCTCCAGTCTGCTAACTCTTGAGCATGTTTATGCCGCTATTTGTTTGCAATGATCTACTTACACTCCCTGAAATCATCATGGAAGTGGATGGCATGGCCCGAAAGGAAGACCCTTTTCTAAAAACAAGTGGTGTCCATTTCGTCTTGAACGACGCGGGACTCGGTTTCCAGAGAGAGAGAGAGAGAGACAGAGGGAGGGACGGAGGGAGGGGGACTGAGGGAGGGAGAGAGAGAGAGGGAGAGAGAGAGAGAGAGCGCACGCACGAAAAAATCCCGTGGCACGAACGTTTTTTTTGCAGTGCAGGAGAGCATCGGCGCGGGCGTGGGACTCTACTTGACTTTCATTGCCTTTCAGTCGTCTGAAGGTGCTGGAACGGTGCTGGAAGTTTGTGAACCCCCACAGGACATGTTAGAAAATAGGCTGAAGGGCCGACTTCGGCAGATCTCAAGTTACTTTGTTAGAAACCGGTTGAGCCAGGGCCTATACTGCAAAGAAATAGGAACATTTTCAATGCTTCAGATCATGGCGAGTTTCGGTTTCTTTAGATAGAAATCGATACTGGAGGGTAGCAACATCCAGGGCCCGACTCCCAACAGCCCTGCCAGGGTAGAATCTGGATCCTGCAAATGGGGAACTTTGGACAGATGAGTGAAGTAATCCGTGAAACCTGTGAAGCCTGTCGCAAGTTTGTCCTGAACTCTGAGAACATGGCAATGTCTCGACCCCGGTTGTAAAGCCAGTTTGCCTCAAGTCACTGGCTCAAGACTCGGACAGAGCACACGACAGAAACCGAAACCTCCAGCGACCGGCGAGTTCCGCTCCAACGCCGCCAGGCATGGGCTTGTCCGTTAAGGACCCAGCAACTCTGGTGACACTCAACAGCCTGAGCCCCGACAGCTACGATGCGGCCAAGCTGTGGCTGAGCCTGGCCGTGTTGTGCCTCACAGCGACACTGTTTGCAGCCAAGGTCTGGTGTTTTCGTGGGGGATTCGGGGGAGAAGGGATCAAGGAGAGCTGCAATACACCACAAAAAGCAGTTGGTTTGAATTTGCAAGGGTCGTAGTTCTTTTTTCGGCGACGAAAGTCGAGATGTTGGCCTGGTTGTTGCTTCGGGCACCTTCTCATTTCACGGCCCTTCCTCCCTTCGAGGTGCCGGGCGCTCCCTTGATTGGGATCATCTTTGGCACCATGGTCTGCTGGATCGAAGGATTTGCCAGGGGTGAGGAGCAGTCCGTCTTCGGGTATCCCTTTGGCACGAAGGGCCACCGTGATGCGAGCTTCCACATCTACCTGCCCACCAGCCGCCTGGAATCAATGTGACAAACTGGTTGAGGTCCGAGGTGAGAGTAGGTGTGATTGAGTATGCCAAGGATGGTAGGCATGGATCATGGATGGGTAGGTACACCATGACCCTGAGCTTGTGATCGTCTTCCTGCCAGGCCTGGTCGCCCAGCCGTCTCTAAGCGGTCTCTCAGGCTCGTGACCCAGTGAAGCTGACCCGCTGAAGTGGAGTCTCAAGGTTTTGGCAGTCCGAGTGAGCAAGATCTATGATGCAAGTCCAGTGTGGGTCTGTAGACTTCGCAACGTGAAGAAAACAACAACGTCGCCAAGAGTTTGCGGCAGGAGCACTTTGGAGTGGCTTTGGGGCAGCCACGGATCCTGCCATGGCGTCCACCTTCTGGACGGCGGTGGCCACTGAGCACGGGTTTGAAAGGCTCAATCATCCCATCCGATGGTTTTGGTGGACAGCTGGAAGCAGGGCAAATACATAGTGTAACTGTGTCAAAAACACCGCAGTTGATATTGCTGTGTGATTTGCAGTTTTGCAATATCATGCAGGATTTTTTTTCCAACGCACAAATCTAGAGTGGTGACACCCCAGGTGGGATGCAAACGAAGGAGTGCAAAAGGACAATTGTATGAAATTGTAAAGACACGAAACCTGATCCTTTCTACCATAGATTCTGATCACATGATTTCCGAAGAAGACGGATCCTTCACAAATCTTCAAACAGTGGACTTTCTTTTGCCTCCAGACCATGATCCGACCAACATGCCGTGCTTAAAATCACGATCCATGGTGCCACATTACATACATACATTACATTACATATTATATATATATAGATAGATCTTCCAGTCACGATCTATTGCGCCGCTCTGTTCGTTCGATCGACGCGTTTGCAAGCCTGTTCGAAGCCAATGGACTCCACGTGTTCGAAGCCGACGGCCAAGGCCACCTTCTGCTACACCGACCTCTTGGACTCCTCCGGCACCTTCTTCGCGGTGGCCAAGGTCGCGGGCTTGACCGACGCGCGGGGCAACCTGCCGCTGGCGCGGCAGAACATGGCCTACCTGGCCGATGCGATTGCGGCGCTCATCGGATCCATGCTAGGTGGGGGGGGAATCGGTGGAGAGCTACAGTAGATGTTACAGTCACTTTGAGGTGATTAGCCGAGGATTGATGGGCTGTAAGTGTCAGGTGGACATGCCGCGATGTGGCAACAAAAGCGTTCAAAGATCTTTTTCTACCAGCTGTACCCGGTACCACCTGCAGTTGCCGCCGCAGAAGATGTGATTGATGCTTTAGTCGAACAAACGACACACAACTGCTATTAACTTGTGGAAAAAAAACTCCTCAGCAGCACAAAGAAAGAGACTCTTGCCACATCCACACTCAAGCAACGCCAAGGAATCCACCAAGACACATCGGTGTGTCGCTCAAATAGGGAGAACCTCCCAGTTCAACGACCTCTCCTGGTCCGAAGGGGCCAGTCTACCCAGTGAGAAAGGGTCTCCAGGTCTCCCACATCCATAAGATCCACATCACCTGCATGGGGTTCTCTCCCGGATGTTCTTCACGCCGTGGCCAGGCGTTTCCACCGTGGCCACCTTCGCGGAGTCCACGGCGGGCGTGGCGGACGGCGCGAAGACGGGGCTGGCGCCCCTGGTCACCGGCGCCGCCCCTTGGGTCACCGTGGAGAGACCGGTGATGGGAGACGGGATATGGAGGGAGATGGGTCAAAGGTGGTGAAGCTTGGCCTGCACGAGGCTGGTGGTTCCTCTCTTTTTTTGACTTTACTCTACCCTTTGGTTCTGCTTCTGCTAGAGGTGGTCAAGCGGAGCCTCTGGGCAAATGGCGAGCATTCTCTGGGAAAGGTTGGACAAGTGAGACTTGGTGAGGGCTTCTTTCACGCACCATTTTCAGTCCCAGGACCATCATGTTGGTCTTGTGAGGGTCACCAAAGTCTTGGCAGCCGATAGTGACCGTACATGAAGCATGCCTGACGAGTCCAAGAATCGGTAGACAGAGCCAGACAGAGCTTTCGAAAATGCCAATATTTATAGAAAACTGCAAACTTGCAGAAGAGGTTGGCATTTGTTGTTTTTTGTTACTGGTTCTACTGTATCCCTTTCTCAGACCAACATAGAACTGAAAAACATGCTTTCATGTTCCACCAAAGCTTACTTGCATCTGAATGTATTCGTTTTCGACCCCCCATTTCCTTTTTGTGGTTCAAATCCCGGATCATGCCGTGTGATTTCCACGAACCACACCAGTCACTGGAGAGCCTTGTCAAGTGGGTCTGGGATCACGAGTTCGTGAATATGGCGCCCGTCCGGGGCGTTTCAGGCTTTCTGCTGGCGATCCCCATCGCGCCCGTGGTCTCCGCGGTGCCTCCCTTGGCCTCCGGGCCGATCTTGTGCCTGCTGGGTGCCTTGATGTGCAGCTCGGTGCGGGGCATCGATTGGGAGGACTACCAGGACGAACTGCGAGCTCTGCGAACTCCATGAGACGGTGAGTGTGAGAAGTGTGCGGAGAAGTAAGAACGAGCCAATGATAAGACGGTCCATATTGGTGGGTGTTGGTGGGAAACACCTGGCCTCAACGGTCTGGTGAGATATGACTTTGTACCCCCCTGGTCGACTCCCACCAGAGAAACCTGACACCTGACAATCTTCAGTTTCCATTATGGCAAGTTTGGTCCTAGCTCCCACTGATGAGGATTTACTTATCTTCAAAAAGGATTGCGCCCTGCCTTGCATGAGAAAGGTGCCGAACTCCCTACCCCACTGAAGGGGATACCTTGATCCTGGCCAAGAAATTCCGCAAAACAAACCCATGACAGGCTTATACTTGTAGTGGGGTCTATTCATTCATGTAATGTGCGCATTAATATTTGTTGATCAGCAGAACATGTTTTGGATGTCATGAAACCATCTATACAATTACATGAAACGTCGATCCTTCACGCCAAAGTGTCCAGAGACGTCTCGACTTTGGTTACTCTCCCGTGTGGACTTTTACTCCGCCTGCCATGACTTCCTCCGCGTAGGAGTCGATGCCGGCTTTCCTGTCCATGGTGACCATGCCCTACACCTTCAGCATTGGCTACGGAATCATTGCAGGCGCACAGGGCCCGAACTCGTTCGGTTCGAAGACCGTGGAACACGGCAGCAGTCGTGCATCAGCGAATGGGACCAAGCATTGTGGGGTCCACTCTTGGAACTAATCTGGAGCTGTCAGGGAAACCGAAGAGGCCAACATGCAAAACCATGCAACCATCAATTGCTGGGTGTTGCAGGACACCTTCATCGGGCCAAAGTTTCTGATCCTCCAAGGAGTTCCTATGGGACAACACAACCACAGAACAACACCAGCATGTTCACCTCATCGACGGTGGGCGTCGTCCGGCAGGTCTGGTCCTTTGGGTGGTGATCCAGTTGCTGCTGATCCCAATGCGCCTGGGAAAGAAGGAGGATCCCTTTGTGCGCTTCAAGGCCCTGTGGGCCGGGGTCTTTGTCGAGGCGGAGGAGGAGTTTAGCCCTTCTGACACTTGGATCGCTGGGCACAACGGGTCGGGAAAAGACGAAGGGTCACATGGTCCAGGCGTGGGGGGGTTGCTTGGGGAAGAGAATGGAAGCGACCAAGCAAGAAGAACTTGACCAACGAGGGTAGCCGCAGCAGACGGCGTGTTGTAAATAGTCATTGTTTCTAAATGTTTTAGCTTGGAACAGCTTGGATGGGACTTTTCTCTGACAGGACATCCTCCTTGTCTCGAAAGGTGCCACTTGACCAAATGACCGACTGTCCTCCGCCATCCGCACCAGACTGTCCGCAGACTGTCCTCGGTTTCCCAGTCATCCGAGGAGAAGGAGAATCTGAGTGATTTGGATACGGATGTTGGCAGCTCGGGCTCTGCCGAGCCATGAAGTCTGCAGTGAACTTGACTAGACCGTCCGTATCAAGCAAAAAAAGCTTGAGATTGGAGGAGGTCAACATGGTTGGCCTATGCATGAAGGTTCACATCAACGAGATTGGTTTTTTCACGCCGTGAAACCAGTATAGACGCGTTAGAGTGGCCACTCTTTGCGAAGAGAACATCGCCCTTCGCATGCCGGCTTGCAGCAATCAGCCTGCGAGCGCTTATACAGTGGTGGGTGTTGCCGCAGTTGTACAGTCGATGCGTTGCTGCCTGGTAGCTCTTCTAGGGAAAGGCTGCCCAGTGCGAATGTCCTCGCAGTGTGAAAGTTGCGAAGGCTCCTCAATGTGGATATTCCACAATGGATATTCCATCAGTCCCTCCTGAATCGTGTGTCACGAGAGGGCTGTAGCCTCTGGAATCTGGTTCAGTCATCTTGAAATCCAGGCGATTGACATACACAGCCATTTGGCTGATGCTTTGGGGGATCCTCAGTTTGTTCATCTGCACCACGGCTCGACAGGCCCAAAGCCGCCTGAATGGGTGAAGCCCCAAGAGGGTTTGGGCAGGGACAGGGAGCGATCGGCAGGGGCAGATGCGTAGGTTTTTTCTTTTTTGGAGCTTGGAAGTGTGGTTCAATGATGCACCCAGGAGTTTCAGTTGACCAAGTCGATGTGTGAACAGAACAACATCATTGAATCATAGAGCACAAAAGTAAGGAAGACCTGGATTACTTGCGTCACATACCCCTTTTCCACGGCATATGACTGCCTGTATACACATCTCAGTTACACTTTGACTCACTAAGATGGAAGTGGAAACAACCCGGTCCGTAGAAGAAAATTGTATTCCAAGGGACCATGCCACGGATCAACACACGGAGAACCCACGGATCAACACACGGAGGATCCAGGGAGATCCACGGATCTGGGGGTCCCGACCACTGTGTGGATGCGAGGGTCCTCTCGAGGACCAGACCCAGTGTTCTCTCAAAGCATCTCGGAGAAACCGGAGGCTTTTGGAGCAAGCAACGATTCAGATGTACATTTGGGCACCTGGGAGATGAAACACCCTTGATCTCTAAGGTGTAGGCCGTAGGAGCTCCCAGGTGGTGCCTTTCTTCCTCCCACCATGCAGATTGTGCCACCATCTCGGCACCTCAACTGAGCTTGTACGACGCATGAGATCGTCGTGGCGGTGCGCCTAGGCCGATCGATCTCCTACAGTTGTCGGGACACCGGGCCGTCGGGTTTCGGACTTGCACGATGGGCTCGGCTCGGCTCTCCGGGTGACTGGTGAGAAGGCTGAGCTCCTGAAGACCATGGTAGGAGGGTTTGGTAGGATGTCCATGGCAAAGTGAAGAAAGGACGAAGGGCGATTTTTGGCACTCGAGGATGCCCGAGGCGTTGGAAGCGAGCTCTACTACTCAGTCTATGGGTTTTGTTGGGCTTAAGTCTCCAGGAGAGTATGGCAAACTGAGCTCCCATGTTTTTCTTGTTCGGACTGAGTGCCATAAGTTGCCGCCCTGTCCTTAGTCAAAGAAAGGAAGTTCCTGCACGCTGCTGCACTTCATTCAATCATTCGAGTCTTTCTGGACGAGGTGGTTATGACTGTATACATCCAAGAAGCACCCAGACATCCTCCAAGAACCACCCAGACAAGTAACCGCTGTTAAGGTGACTGAAACAACACCGACTAGTGGGGCATCTCCCCATTGTGCTCTACATCCTCCCACCAAAAAGAACGGGATTCAGTTTCTATGTGGATTGAATCCAACCATGGCCCTGTGCCTAGGGCCTAGGGCATCGCTACTAGGAGCAAGGACGCTACTAGGGGCTCCTGGCCTTACTACTAGGAGCAAGAAGCTAGTAGAAACAATGGGGCACACCTTCCCCAGATCCACCGGGAGGAGGGACCGGTGAGGCACCGGCCGGCTGAGCCGCCCGTCTCCTTGGAGGCGACCGCTTCGCTTCGTGTGTTGGTCGAAGGGAGTTTGTTCGGTGTTGGGCGAAAGGACGAGTGCTGGACTCAGGAGATGGAAAAGTGCTGGACTCAGGAGATGGAAAAGGATTCTTGTCTTACTGCAGTTCTTCTTTCTTCTTCGATGGTTCTTTTTGATGGTCATGGATGGTCAATGAAGGAACATCCCGAAGAACATGTTCTTTGGTGCCGAAGTATTGAGACTATGACCGAAGGACTCAAGAACCAGGGACCTGAATGCCGTGGCTGTGGTTTGGGGGAGATGTTGATTGAGGTGACCTTGCCGGATGTAGCTTAAACATCCTTGGCTACTGAGCATTGATTGCATGAAGCTCTATGGATCCTCAAAAGTCGATTTGATCAGAGCCAGAGTTCATCCAGCTGTAAAAAATGCAATATCCTCTTACACCTCTCATTTGTCTCACTGTATTTGCAATACTTTTTGAACTTACCTTGGCCACACATGTGCTAATGATGGGATGCCTGTTTAGCTCTGCATTGTCGTGTTTGCCTCGTCACATTTGTCGAGGTTCCGGAAAGGCCCGTGTAACCACAACCAAATAGTTCCACACCATGTTGGCCCTACTTTTTCCAAGAGTTCCTTATGTATCGCTACTTTTTCCAACTATGTCACACACATGTTGGGCCTTCCTTATGTTGGCCCCCTTATAGTAAGACACACCACGTTGATCTCTTATGTTCTTCTTTCTCTTTAAACAACACTTTTCGCCGTCTTTTCAAGGCCCAAGCAGATGCTCTCGCAGCTGCCGCCCTGGCGCCCAGTAGAGACAGGTGGTTTTGTACCATTCAGGTGTGGGGGGAACTCATGGAGCTCATCGGAGTGATACAAGAATATGTATAGTGATCCCCAAATAGATAGAAACGGTTTCCAAAATGGGGATCTTACGGTACTTTTCTATCTATTTGGGGGTCTATACTGTACATCAAAACATAACTTTTCCAACTCATAGAGTCTAAAGGATCTTCGCTTCCAGAAGAACACCAAGATTCCAAGATCCGACCCTGCACATCGGTTTTCGAAAAGGTTCCCTGATCTACCTGTCTTGGAGAGGACCTGGGACGTTCTGGGGCTCGCGGGACCGGCGAGGTCAAAGCCGGCGTTGCCAAAGCAGTAGGTGTCGGGCACCCCGGGAGCGCGCCCTGGTCTCTACGTCGCTTTTCTCCGATTTCGGAGGGGAAAAGATGGGGACATGTGAAGGTGCATGTGTGGTCGGACATTGAGGGATGGTCAGCTATGGTCCATCTCATGCGGACCCTTGCAATTCGGGGGAGGATGACCATCCCCCACATCAAGATCATAAGTTTGGATGATGGGTTTGTGCCTGCCCAGGTGAGAGGTCTCCTTCAACTTGAATTGTGTTGGATCAGTTGGGATTTGGGATTTCCATTACCCAGAGCTGGCATGATGATGAATGCATGTCCCCGGAAAAGCTGGATCACAGGAAGGATTTCTTTTTGGAAAGCTCATTACATGGGGAGTTCCATGGTCTTGACACACCCTTTTTGAAATGGTCGATGCACCTTGATGCAGTGAGATTTGGTTTGTTCAGGACGGGGTCCCCAAGGGGTCCCCAAAAGGTCCTGGACCACAGGAGTGAACGAGGACATTCCTGGACCAAGTAGCACCACCACTCTGCAAACATCCTGCACCAGGGATGCAGAGGCTGAAGAGCCCGGTTCCTTTGCTGTTTGCTATTCGACTAAAGCCTATAGTCAATAAGGCTTCTTTAGTGCAGGAAAACGATGTCCACAATTCCACAAATACCAAAAGTCTGCCAGTCGCCGCAACGTACGCAGCGCGATGTTCTCGCTGGGAGAGGTCTGCAACTTTTCCCTCGCCGAGCTCAAGGTGGTGCACGAGCGCCTGCGCCGCCAAACGGGCTGCGGCTTGAGCAGCTGCCAGGCGCCAAACGGGCACCGGCGGGGGACGGTTTGGGGGGCTCTGGAACCGAGCTGAGTGTCTCGAAGCGCTTTCGCGGTCGCAGCAGGTTGTTTGGCAGGTCGTTTGGGTCGCAACATGTGATCAGTTGTTGCTCGCCATGCCAAACACGTAGACCAGGCTGGACGTTGGCTTTTAATCTCGACCAGTGGAGTGATTCTGCGGGGCGCTTTGGAGCGCTTTTCGCACCTCGCCCCAGGTGGAGCTGTCTTTGGCTCGTCAGCTGCCGGTGGCCAGTGGACTCGTGGCGCACCCAGCACAACTCGACGTGTTCCGTGTCGCACGAGGGCTCTTCAGCCCTCCTCGCACAAGAGCGTCCCACATCACAGGTCCCCCACATAGATGTTTTATGCTGGATTCCATGGCCCGTGATAGGCCATCATGGTCCCCATGGTCCCCCACATCCATAGGCCATGGATGTTTCATTTTGTTCAAAGATGGATTCTATGGCCTTTTTGGAGCCAGACTCGCATCCCCTCGGGGTGAAGGTCCCCAAATTTCAAAACTTCGGTCTCAAAAGTCAACGCAGCCAGTGACGGAGAAAACCCGACTGAAGTCCAGGAGCCGACCATATGTTGACCGACTCAAGTAGTCTGGACGCTCCCGAAATCAGGTTTGCTAGTCAGACAATTCCTTTGATAGTCTTCGACTCGCAAAAAAAGCACAGTTTTGACACAGCCATCTCGAACCGTGACGATCCCCCAAAAAAACCGAGGCTACACATCCCTATTCTAATGATGGAGATTTCAAGTCAGCCAAATGAATCTGATCAGATGCAAACTCGCTTTTCCCGGAAAAGCCCACTTAGATGAGACCCTTTTGGAGGCAGGTTGTCAGGAAAAAGGGGGTGAAAGCAGTCAACCTTCTCGTTGTCCGAATCACTTGGAATCAAGTACACTAGGACCCACCCCTTGTGGTTAATGGACACCCCTTAACCTCTAAGGGTCTATTGTCTCCTGGCAGGGGCTGTTCTTTGGCATTCGCCCTTCGCTGTGGCGTTTCGTCCGCGGCATGCCACATCACCCAGGTGGCGAAAGACCAGTCAACGATGATATGATGAAAGCGGGCTTTTTCAGATCCTCCATGTGTCTTCCAGGCGCATGGAGGCATGGTATTGGTGTTGTCTGAGGAGAAGAAGAGATGGAACACTGTTTGGTTACATTGAAGTATTTCCAGCAAGTCTTCCAGGAATCCAGCTGCCAGGACGACATGCTTGACAGAGCTCTTCAAAATGAACCATTTACAAGACTTCTGTGAAGGATGCCGTGCTCGCGGCGGCGTTCGCAAAGACTTGCTAGAAGCAATCGAGAGGAATTGCATTCGCGGCGATGAACTGCCTCACTTGCTTTTGGCAAAGCGGTGCAGGCCTTGCTGCTATTACCATACACACTCAACCGAGATTTGCAGAACAGCCCCTGGCCCTGCAGGCACTATTTGTATCAACGTGTGGACCTCAAGCTGAAGTTGGATGAAGCTGTGATCAATTCATTGCGATCGCTTGAACAGACGCTGATCAATCTGATGTCGGCGCTGCATTCGACCAGACATTTCAGCTGTTCGACCAGAAATGTGCAAGGCAGTTCGTGTGTTCGTGTGTCTTTCCTTATGTTCACACGGCCGCTGCCGACATGGATCCCGATGCGTTGGAAACGACGTCGGCGATTGGACGTTTCAGGTGAATGGCTGCCGTGAGCTGGGCATCACTGTGAGGAGCCTCAGATCCGAATCGGCGAAGGGCATCGCTACGAACGGAACGATCGGGCGCTAGGAACGGGGCTCCTGGCATCGCTAGTAGGAACAAAATGCTACTAGGAGCAAAGGGCATCGCTACTAGGAACCCGGGGCCTCGCTACTAGAACAAGAAGCTCTTGAGAACGGAGGGTGCAACATTCGGTGCACACCAAGCAGACTGACTTGGTGTGGATAGGCCTTTCAAGCAGCCATGGGTCTTGACACCTAGTTGGTTCTCAAGTTTGGGTTTGTGGGTCCGTGGCGATGTGGCCCACATCCAGGTTTGGAGGGTGAGACTTGGTGACACCTCCAAACCTTTGAGCATCCCCGCGCGTGAAAGACTGGACTTGCAAACCATGCTCGGACTGTTGGGGATGCAACCCCCCCCCCGTAAAAGCGCCAGAAACCACGTGGTGGGTTTTGGGAAGAGCCACGTCACAGGGACATCCTGCAAGAACTGGCTCGAAGGTTTGCCTCTCACGAGGCAACAAAGTTGAAGTGACGACCTATGCTAGGGCTGGGTGGACAGCTAGCGACAGCTAAGTTTTCTTCCGGTTCCTTTCAAGCTTGCATAATAGATTGGATGTTGTTTGTGTATGATGGTGTGAAAGCTTACAATGTTTCTATTTTATTGCTAATTCTGACCATTTGATTGTTCGAGAAATTTGCTTTCTGCTAGTCTTTCGCTGTGGGAAGAAGAACTGGAGAACCTGCAAACATGTTTGCGGCGGGAACCACTTACTTGAACAGTGGTTGAAAGGCTCTGTGCAAGCGGCTTTAGTTGTAGTTACAGTACAGCAACTGGTGGAGCACCACCATCTCAGTTGGTCAAAGCCTCCATGCAATGGTCACAGAGACCAGTTTCTCCAGACGTGTCACAAAAGAGCACGTCTGTATGGTACACTTGAAGTGCTCTTTCTGTGGAAACCGCCTGCGGTTCCGACCTCTTCCAAGTGATTTCTGGAGCCAACCGGGCACTGGAAGAGAGGACGGTGTGTGGGGGTGATGTGGGGTGATGTACCGAGGTCTTGGCCTTCTCGCCCTTAGCCATGGGCCGCCTCAGCGGGCACTACGCCTGGGAGCCCACCCGGGACGGGCGAACGAGGGACTCGCCCCATGGAAGGACGGGCGATCCCTTGAAATGGGCACCGATTCGACCCAAAATGGGGCGAGAAGATGCGATGGAATTCGAACGGATTCGATGTGCCTAGTAGTGTCCTTGCTCCTAGTAGTAAGAATGCTCCCAGTAGCGATGCCAGGAGCCCCTAGTAGCGATGCCCTTGCTCCTAGTAGCGTCCTTGCTCCTAGTTCCTTCGTTTCTTTTGCTTGTCGCGGTCGGACCGGGACGTGTGAACGACGCTCCTTTGACCATGGCCGGGACGTGCTCGGCTCGTTGGTGGCCATTCTGGTTGTTGCCGGTCCAGTGCAGTCGTGGTTGTACTTTGTGGTTGTTCGAGTCCAAACTATACCACTGAATGATGGGAAATGTATGCGCCAAAAGCGAATCTTGTGGTGGGAATGCTCGCAAATCATCCCAACTTAACTGGAATCTCTTGTTTTTCATGGCCGACCGAGTGGACTCCCCCACAGCCAGTTTCGGTTTTGCTTCGTAGCCTTTCGTGTGATTCTTGGGGGGCATCGCTACTAGGTTGGAGGTTGACCTTGCCTTGGAGGCCGCTCCAGCTCCCCAGCTGCTGGCGTCCCTAGGACCCTTGGGGCCACGCGCCCACTTGGACAGACCGCGGCAAGAGCCGAGCACGACCCTTTGGTCGGACGCCCCAGGGCGTCGACCGGTCCCCTGTCGCAGGGGACTGCGAGTGAAGCATCTCGGGTAAAGCCCAGGAGCTTGGAGCCCATAGATGGCCATATGTGGCCTTGGAGACTGTTGGTTGATGAAATAGTAGAGGGGATGATTACCACCAATAAGTGTGCCAATAGGTAATGAGATGGTACCAAATCGACTCCTCTATGATTCCTAACAGATACGGGACATATCATACTTTGGTAGATGCCACCCTTTTCCAGGCATATCCCGGAGTTGACGCTTGATGTCACAGATGGTGATCATGCAACTCGCGTTGTGACAACTTAGTGGATATATATATATAATAGGTATATAAATACAGTATATATATGCTTGACATTGCTTGACGAGATCTACAACATTTGGGATCCTCCAAAAGAAATCCCCAACAAACTGCAATGAAGCCACAGGCTTTCCACTTTCATCATCCACAAACCACAGTGTGGTTTTAGAAACTCTACAAGACATTTGTTTGTTGGTGAAGTTCAGTTTCTATATGATCAAGGCCTCTCTGCAACCTCCTTCGATTGGCGGGGGGCCTCAGCGGCTTTCGGCGCCGAACCGGCGGCCAGGGTCCACCCTGGACGCCGACCCGGACGCATGGCATCAGCTGCTGAGGATGCTGCGGCAGGCGGTGTGGTAGGATGGAAGTTGGAGTTGTTCCTTGACAGGAGGTTGTTGTGAGTTCTAGACCCTAGAAGGTTTGGTGAAGTGAGAATGGTTCTTTCGATGCGCTTGATCGTTTTTCTCTCCTGTTCATTCCCGTGGTGGAGACGCTTGACCCAAGGATTCAAGGATAATGCCTTGCAAAGACCTCAAATCATCGTCACGCGTCATAAGCTGTTTCCGGATCTTCTTCCTTGGAGCATGGTGCAGATGATCAAGTGTCAGAGCAGGCACAGGTCATACAGGTCTCTTTGCGGCGATTCTTTGCTTGCCAGTATTGTTTGTGATGTGGCGTTTACGCTTGTGCAGATGGCCCAGAAATATGGGAAGACCTGTGCACAGGCCACTGGCGGCCGATGGGTGTTTTGCAGAGATCAGGGTCTCACACGACTGGAAACAGCATGAACTGCTCCGTTGCTCGGTTGGGAGCAGACCTGTGCGAACCTTTCGGTTATTGTTTCGGTTGTGGGTGAGGGGCAGCTGAGACTCCAAACACGATTCAGATTGCTTCTGCTGAGGGACGGGCCTATAGCTTCTTGACAGATGCCATGAAGTGGCATCCTTGCTATCCTTGCTAGCTAGAGCTTTGAGGTGGTAATGCAGATTCTTGACCAGAAAAAGGAACCCTCCAAGGGGTGTCTAGTGATAGCCGTTTAGAGGTTAAGGAGTGTCCAAAAACCACCTGTTGGAAGGTCCTGGTACGTGTTTATATAAATATATATAGTATTATATATCTATAGTATCCAATCAATCGCGGCAGAGCGGAGGTTTTCCCAGCTAACAGTGAGCCTGTTGCTATTTTTAAGGGGATGCCTCTCAGCTTGGTCGAAATTTTGGACTTGCCGCTCAGCTTGTGGGCGTTTCATTCAAAGTGGTCCTTGGTTCACGGGTTCATCGTCCACATTTTGAGCTCCTTGAGCAACTACTCCTTCCAGGTGGCCATTAACTGGGTCCTATGCCAGGCAGCTGGAGAAAGGGATGGGAAATTGGGCGCCCCGCCGGGGATGGCCTGGTCGAAATCATTCACCTCCCTTACCTGGGCAGCTGTTAGCCATCCAGCCCTGAAGACTCCCCCAAAGGCAAAGAATGCACGGCAGGCAATACACCAAACACCGAAGACTTACTAGTACTCTGCTCTTGTTTTCGGTTGTTTTCCTTTACATCCTGCATTGTTGCGGGTCTTTCCTTGATGATTCATGGGTGTTTCCTCGTGGGTTCGCTAATTCATCTTGGGATCCCTTGATCGCCCAGTCGTCTGTTCCGGCACGGAGACGTGCTACATCATGGTACATCATGATACATCCGGATACATCAGGATGCACTGGGTGCCTGCCCAAAGCGTGTCAGAGATTTCAGGTCCAAGCACCGGATCGGTCCTGGAGTCTTTTTGGGCGTCTCGTGACCTTGGAGCGATCCACGGAAACGCGCGGCACATCAGGGTGCTGTAGCCATTTGTGGTGCCTGGGCCTCAGGTCATCGTATTTTGGTGGTGGAAGGTGCCTGGACTGATGCCCTCCATGTGCTGACGCCATCCAGAACAGTTTTTTTTCTCCAATAACCTATACTATATTAGCTGACAGCATGTGGTCAGACTGGCAGCACAGACTCCCAGTTCCAGTTGACCCCACCGAACAGCCTGTTATTCCAGGCTTGGTTGGCATCATGTAGACGTTTGTTATCCCAGGTATCACCGAAGAAGTGGGGAGTTGTTCCGCATCTATAATGTGCACACATCTCTCTTCCTTTCCATGTCCTCACTCTGTGGATGAACCAACATCTTGCACCCCTTGAGATGCTTGACTTTAATAGAACAGGTTTAGTAAGAGGTTCCACCAAATTCCTTCATCTCTCGAGGCTCGCAGTGGGGAGCAGGCGGCCGAGAACGCCGGCGCCATGGGCGGCCTGGCCGAACGAAAGGACCCGTTTGTGCGAGGACCTGGAGGACTTGGTTGGGTGAGGTCACACCGGCCAGGTTACTCAGGTGAGTCTTGGGCGCTGGGCGCTGGGTCGGTCTGCTCGGCAGGATGAGCACCCGAACTGCTAGTCTGGCTTGTAGAACCGACCGTGAGCCCTAAGAACATCCAAACATCAAGACCACCGCAAACGCAAAGGGGCCCTGGACATTCGAAGTGACATGTCGCCACGCCCGACAGATGTAAACTGTAAGCCCCACACTCCCTGATTCAATCATGGTAGTGGAACCACCTGACTGTTTGTAGAGTGTAGAGGAAAATGATGATGCAAAGGGCGATTTTCCACTTGCATGACAATTTATCTTCAGGGTCAGAACACAAAAAGAGCTTGGCCCCGCCTCTGGTTCTCTTACGAACGGACGCGGTCTCCCGAGGCTGGCGTTTGAGCGCCGAGGAGCGGTGGCGACGGGGTGGGGTTGGGCGACCCTGGGTGATTGGATCTCGCTTGGGCTGGGAACCTGGCCTCCAACCTAAGAGCGATGGCCTCCACCACAATAGTCTATAGTAGAAGCAAAAACTAATAGCGATGGCCTCCAACCTGCTAGCAATGGCCTCCAACCTGAGAGCGATGGCCTCCAACCTAATAGCTTGGGCTGGGAACCTTGCGAAAAAGCCGGTTGTTCATGTGCCTGTTGGGGTTTGTGGGCTTTTCGACTGAAGATGCTTTGGTGTTGTTGTGTTAAGACATGTTTTCATAATATATGGTTTCTTGGGTGACCCCAAGCATGACTTGGCCCCTTGGGCTTCCCCAGCAGGTGCTTGTTCAGCATCTAGTAATCTAGGCGCCTCTCGCAGGATGCGTTGCTGCTGGGTGCCTTAGGTGTGTGGATCCCCAGTACAGCTGGGAGTGGGTCTCCTCCCAGACGTGACACGATGGACCAACAGGTGGGCGCGTGTTAAAGATAGGGTTATATACCCAAAGCCTCCCAGGAAGAGGACGGCAACACCCAGTGGTTGAGGGTTCTCCCTGTTGCAAATGCACACCCAGACATGGGTTCAAGTTGGACAGGATCGGATCGCATGGCTACGACCGAAACAGAATTCGCTCTGCCTTCTGAAGGCAAAACAGAATCGATGCTTGGCCCACCGGCTACGACCGAAACCGCTGCTTGGCCCCATCCAAGATGCCTACACGCTCATGTGGCGCAGTCAAGGCGGCACCAAACAGCGACTTTCTCACATTTGGCACCACTCCGCAAGTTCCGCGGCCAAGAGCTGGGTCTCTGGCGGAAGCCAGCGCAATGCGCTGCATGAACCTCGCATGAAGCCAAGTACTTTGGGTATCAGGATTGTGAATTGCTAACTTTCCACGGAGATTCAGTATCCATCGGGGTCCCCTGGTTTTGAGCCAGTGAGAGAGCCAGGGTCGGGTCCTGAGGTCAAGCTTCTTCCCAGAAGTTCAGACTTCAGCATTTTCCCGTTGCTGGGTGACCACTTGCCGAACCGCGCCGTTTGAGGCTCGTGGGGAAACCTCCGACTTTCAGCATGGCTGACGGCCCAAAAGAAAGGGCCGGCCCTCGGCGCCACGACGGGGACCGGTTCGGTCCGAGGGTCCCGCACGAGAATGTCTTCGGAAGAATCCAACGTGAAACAGGGTGTGTCATGATGCCAGAACCGCGCAGTTTTGGGGGTTGTGTTGTGGGGTTGTGTTGTTGCACCTCGTCAGCGGGGGGTCGGTCAACCACCCGTTGGGGTGGGAATCACATCGGCGATAGAAGGGCTGGCTACAAGCGCTGGGAGTGAAGAGATGTGAGCTTTCCTTGTTGGACGGAAGTGCAAGGCGAGACATGGGGAACCTACACTCGCGGAACCTACAAAATGTATCACCACCATGTTCTTTGAAGGGCATGGGGACACCACTCAAACATCGAAGAGGTGGAAGGGGCGGCACTGGCTCAAGCTGCGCGGGGCCTGCGCCGGGGCCTGCGCCTCTTTTTCAAGAGGGCGAAGCCAGAACAAAACCGATGCGACGTTACTTAGCATACTTTGGCATGACCTCAACGCTGAAGTTCGGGGGGCATAAAGTGTGTTTGATGTCGGAGACATACAGGAACGAGGCGGGAAGCCCACGACACGAACGAAGCATGCGATGTAGAGGGTCGTGGCCGTTGCAGCCTTTCGCCATGGTTGCGGCTGAAACTAAAAACACCACCCAACTCCGCTGTGATTCACTTTAAGGGAAAAGAGAACAGATCATTTCCTTGGTGGTTGTTTGGGTATGTTTGGGTCTTTGTTTAATTTGTATCCATACTGATGTGATGTGAACACCGATTTGTTCGAGGCCACAGGCCTTCGTTCGCCACTCATTGCGCCATGTTGCACCGAACAGCGAGCAGTGCCTTGACGATCACCAGGCAGGGAGGAGAGGAGTTGGTGGGAGGGTGATCAGGGCGGACAGGTGGATGAGGAGAGAATGAAGATTAGATCCGTTTTTCTCACCCGATATGGATCTTTCATGGATTTTTCATGTCGGATCAGCATTTGCATGGATATTCTTTTAAACGTTTTCTTCTGATTCCGCAGCCGGGTCGAGAGGTGGGCGGGCATTCTTCGGGTAGCGAAAACGGTCGGTGACGCGAAAACGGTGAGAGACTCGGTGTTTGGCGAATTGGCGACGTTGCCTTTTTACAACCAGAGACGGTTGCACCGGTTGAGTGAAGAAGCGATCTGTCTCGTTCCGGTCAAACAGACTCTACATGAAGGCAGCAGGCACAGAGCCGCCAGGGATGGCACCAACTTGGTGCTCCAGCTCCACATTTCAGCACATCGCAGGTCTCAGCTTGTGGGCATCCTTTTTGCATGGAAAATCCAGACTCAATGGGTCTCAATGGATCTCAATGGTCTCATTGAGGCGAAACAAAACACCAACTGGTCTGATGGTGTCTATTGATGTCTTAACGTTTCCAGGGATTTAACAAATTCAGGTGTTTAAATGGATAGGTTATATACCTTGTCGCGCTAGCAAAACACAGCCTTGGGCTAAGTTTGCACTAGGGCTGGCGCTAGTCGCTTCTTTAATGCGCTGATGTGGATCGTGTGCCTACGGGGGAGCATGAGTATGCGGTAGTTCAGCCCCACTGCGCCGACTGCGGGTCTCAACTGGGTCGTCTCCACCCGGGTCTCACTGTCCAGGTCGCAGATCCGCACCGCCAAGTATGTGCGCGAGGGCATTTGGGCACGTGGGGATTATGGGTCACCTGGTGCATCCGATGAAGGAGACGGTTCGTGGGGTTTGCGAAGGGGGGGATGAGTCGGAAGACCCAGCGGGCAGGAATTGTTTTGATTGCGGAAGGACGAGGGATGGACAAGTCCTACACAACTAGATACAACTAGTATCATAGGCCCCCGCCAAAACCCCTCTGGGCTCCCATAGGTTTGGTGCGGTGCGGGAACATGAGTCGGTCTCTCTCCGAATAAGTGCAATAGGTTTCATGTTACTGTAATTTCTTTCTTCGCTCCTAGCTCGCAACCTCCCAATTACTTCAAATGAACACATGGACCGCCTGAAGCTCATTTTCCTTGAGCAAAAGGTGTAAGTAGCAGTGGGTGTGCCTTTGTCTTTCATATGCTTTCCATGTATATACTGTATATATATATATAATCCCGTCCTCCTAATAATAAACACGGCCCCCCCCCCCTATTAAAAAAACCTCGGTCGCATTTTTTCTAATAGGGGGTCCCTGAAATCGGGGGGGCCCAAAATAGGGTCACCTGGAAACAGTTTCAAAACCAAAAAGTAATCCAGGAAAATTTTATATAAAATCCTTTATTAAACTCATATCAAAAATGCAAAAAACCGCCAGATCGAAGGCCTCCTTTTCCCCTACAAAAACCTTCATTAGAATAGTGATTCTTCAGTAGACTAACAGCTAAAGCTTTCGAAAGGTGATGCCGCTGTGCCATGCGGTGTTGCATGACCTCGGTGGCAAGTGCGTTTGCGTGAGTCCGTGCCATTGAGGGAAGGAAAGCCTGCTGGTGTAAGCGCGGCGTGTCATGGTGGAGTTTTGGGGAACCTAATTAAAAAAACTACCACCAAAATCGACCATGTTGGTAGTTTAGTAGCGGTTTGAAATTAAAACCAAATATAAACCGAATTTAGGGGTTCGGACGTGGTGTTTTTTTAGTTGGGGAGTGTTTATTAATAGGTACTCGGGATTATGTATATCCATATACACGCCTAGAACCCACTTGACCTCTGTTTTGATAGGAAGAGACCATGTGTTGCCTCCAAAGTAGGGAGTCAAAAAGGTTCTATAGGTGTATATATATATATACACATGTTATACGTCCATGTTCAACCTTCCGTTTCTTCGCGCGTCGTCAGACCCGCGGGCCCGGGCCGCCACCTGAGGCTCTACACCATGGATGACCCACGGATCTTTCGGCCGGGCCTGCGGCGGCAGTATCCCTATCACAAGCAGCTGCAGTGGAGCAAGCCATACATGTGCCACTTGGTCTGAGTCCGAGTCGGTCCTTTCTTTGCCAAGGTGAACAGGAAGGTTGGCCCGAAAATAAGGTCTATACACATCCGTACTGGATCGCTCATGGCTCGACCTGGGTTTCTAGTCTTTGGCGAAGAGATCTTGACAGCATCTTCCAGTTTTCTTTGGATTTGGTGTTGTCTTGAGGTTGGGCATATGAGGATGTTTCGGTTTCAAGGGGCTGGCGGCTGGACAGCGGATCTCCAGCAAGAATGCCGGGCCCTGTTGCCAGGCTCTTGACTTGGACACCAATTTCTTTAAACCATAAATCCTTCTTGATCATCGTTTGATCCCTATTCGCTTAGAAGGATCTGCGAACTGACTGCCCGGATCCTTGGATCCTCCGGGTTTACCCAGGCCTCCGGCATGGCCGCGCTGCGCCGCCCGGCGGCGCCGTGCACCTGGCCGTGGTCTACCGGCAGTTCGAGTTGGCGCCGGCAAGAGGGTAGGGACAGGAGTTGGTGGTTGAGGTGTCTCTCTTGAAGTCTAGGCCATGTGAGGCATGAGGCATAGGCAGGATGAGGACGACTTTTGGTCAAGACCTTTTCTTTTTGCTGCAGCCCTTCCTTTTATTAAGCCTCGTCCGTCAAGGATGCGTCTAACCGCCCACGGGCTTAAGTTGGCGCATACATGATCAATGAGGCATAAGCTGGGTCGGCATGGGTCCTGCCCTGTGTCTTTCCATGTCCGCCACCGCGGTGGCCGGTCCTGCCGTGATCCACCGATCCACCGTCTGAAGAGTCCGTTCTGAAGCGCTCCGTCTGAAGCGCTGGAGATTCTCTTTCAAAGGAGGTCGTCTATATCATGCACAGTAGTGACGTGTACGGTGTCACTATAGTGTGTCTTTGCTGTTGTTTGAGATCGCCGCGGCGATCGTCCATTCTTTTGGGTTTTGGGGACGGTTGCTGAGTTGGTGGCTCGATCGCGCCTGGGCCAGGCCTTTTACGACTTCCAGAGGCGCTTGAAATGTGAGCTCCCAGGTGCCAAGGTCGTGGCCGAGGCGGTGGACCCGAATACCAACGCCTCCACCGAGCGGCTGGGCTAAGCAGGGGGCAGGGGCAGGTGATACAAAAAAGTGAGTTCGACATGACAATGAGCATAAGAGCCCTGATGAGCCCTGATGAGCCCTGAAGGTGCCCGAAACTTCAATCTGTAGGCCAAAACTTCTCGGCTTCCTAATGGTGAGAAGGCGCCCGTTACACCAAGAAAACCGTTGGTCTTTTCATCGCTCAATTGCGATGAACAAACCCCACATCAAGGTCCGTCGCCCAGTCCATCCCTTTTCCGCGGCCGCCCAGTTCCTATTTTCAGATCATCCGCTTGAACGACGGGCGGACTCTGTGGGCGGCGAGCGAAACGGAGGAGGCACCAGTTTGGAGGGCCGGAGGAGGCGATTCTTCAGAATAGCTGAGGAGGAAAGTACTCTTGCAGACCATTTGTATAGAAAAGGACGCTACTAGGAACAAAGGGCATCGCTGCTAGGAGCAAGGACGCTACTAGGGGCTCCTGGCCTTACTACTAGGAACAAGAAGCTATTAGTAACAAAGGGCATCGCTGGAGTGCTTTCTACAAGTCCAGTCGGGCTAAGTTAAACCTGGTCCTTGACCTCATTGAGTACTGGTTTTGGTATTTTCCCGGATCCAGTCTAATGGGGTCCGTAAGACTCTGTAAGACCTGTAGGGGCCTGTAGGGTTTCTTCAACGCATTGGGCTGTGAATTGAGACCATCCCTTCGTTGGAACTGCCGCTTCCAGGTGAAGAATCGCTTGTCTGAATTGGAGGCCAAGCGCAAGGAATTCCAAAAGGCGGGCGGTGGGATTGGGGGAGGTCAATCCGTCCAGGACGGGCTGAGCCAGGTGACTGGAACATATATTTAATACAACGCACACGTGCTGTAGATGACCTAATAAAAGAGGGCTTGGTTTTTCATGCCATGTTTCCATTGCCTGGGTTGGTACCTTTGCGTGTTGGGGGGGGGGCCATCCTGGATTTGAGCCAATTGATTTTTCTTGAAACAGGGCGTCACCATGGACACTCCGGGGTTCTCGTGTGATTGCTGGACTCACCAATTTAACGTAGCTCGCAGGGAACGCAGGTGCGACAGCAGGGAACTGGTGTATCTTTGGCATGATTTGCAAGAGCACCGCAGGGTTGAGGTCGCCAAGTTGCCAAGAGACTTGGCGTGTGTACAGCTGTGCCTCAAAACAACGCATTTCAGGACCCACACAAAACCATTTCCCACATCCAGCCACGTGCATAAAATCTCAGAGCACACCCGAGGCATGAGAGTGGCAATTTGTCCATGCTAAAATTCTTTTGTGCCTGTGGAAAGCTTGACAGTCCGTTCTGCCTCTCGCTGGCGGTTTCACTTCGTTCTTTCTGTCGCAGTGGATGAAACCTCCGGACCATGTGCGACCGTTGGCCTGGCCACCCAGGCCAAGGAAGACCAGCAACACCTCAAGGCATCGATGGGCGGGGCCCGATCACGTGAGCCGTGCCGGCGCTTGGACTTCTTTTGGTCAAGCCTGGGACTGTTCCATGTGAAAGGTGTGACAGATACATGGAGTCACATTGATGTCACCTGCTTCAGTGGCTCCAAAGATGGGAAGTGTTTCTGGAGATCTTGGCCCAGCGTTTCAACGTTTTGCGAACACATGGCCAGTCGTCCTTTCATTCCGAATGAAACTGAAGTTCTGAAGTCCACATCATTTGAAGTGGACTTCAACAAGTCCAATCTCCATGGATCATCCTGGAAACAAATCACTTCATCGACAAAAGTCTGGAGACATTCGACACGAAGACGTGCGCAGGCCCAGACGGCCGATGTGGTGCTGGACTTCCGGCCGGGGCGCCGGACTTCGGTGGATCGAAAAGGAAGAAGTCCAGGGTTCCCCTCCTGCTGTTGCAGTGATACGTACCTCCTCGCTCGCTCCGTCTCCCAGGTTCCAGGCTTGTCCACCGAAGGTGGACGAGACCGCAGAATGGGCAATGGCGATTCGACACACCGTGGCCGCGGAGGCCAGTGTCGGCAGTGTCAGCAGCGCGTTTCATGAACGTTGACCCGAAATTCGGAGGCAGCACGTGTTGTAGTCTGCTAAGATCTTACAATCCTTAGTTTGCCACTGGGTTGTTCCGTTTTCAGCCCTTTATATAAATGGTGGCACATGTGGGACATCGTCCTGTCGTCCCATGTCAATGTGGAGAAGGGACACACATACCAGGACCCTCTAAGGGGTGTCCAAATAGCAACCCTTAGCTTGGAT